TAAAGATTAGATCAATTACATTTTTTTCCTGGTCAGCTCAATTTTATTAAATTTTATTAAATTTATTTCAATAGAATACAAAAAAAATAAAGTAAATACACAGACATGTAAATTCTTAAATCGCCACAATGGGATTATATAAGAATAGGGGGCATGTGGAAGTAGAAGTGGCAGAGCAGGCAGGGTCTTGGACTAGGGCAAGTGTGACGGGACTATAGGATACTAGAGATGGATAAGAAGGAGGGAATTAGCTATTGTCTTTGATACAATTAACAATGAGAAGTAGTATTTTGGAATTTGCATCTATGTTTAATTTGGGAATTCCTGTTTTCAAAATAGCTATGAAATCAGTTTGAGAGAGATTATGACTGAAGATGTTTGGTTCGAGATCAGTGAGTTTGTCCTTGAATTGCTGTCTTTGTAAAGTAAGTAAGTCACATTGAAAGAGAAAATGTTTCAGAGTTTGTGGTTTTCCACAAGTGCAATTAGGGCTGTCAATAGACTGAAAGTTGTGAGCGTAGAACTGGGCTTTAAAGTATAGGTCGGCTCTGATTTTATTGAGAACTATTTCTTGATCCCTTGTTAGATTAAGCTGGCTTGTTGACAAAATCGAGGGCGATTTTTGGAAATGTACTCTTTGCTGTTTTTTAAAATTCGAAAGAGTATTCGTAGATTTAAAAGCAGGTGGAAGATTGATCCAATTTGAAATTGCAGCTGGTATTGCTGAGGTGGAGAATATATTTGAACATCTAATGGGCATTTTAAATGCTTCATTATATCGCAATACTCTGTTTGCATGGTTTCTAAATTTGTCAAAAATATCAGTTACATAGGGAGGACTTGTACCATTTACAATTTTGAACATAAAGTTGTTAATCTGGATAATGCGTCTTGATTCAAGAGTTGGCCAATTGAGTAGGTTTAAAACCTTTTTTGAACTGCTCCCTTGGATACACCCAGAACAATAAAGTGCAGCTTTGTAATAAAGACTGTCGAGTCGTTGTAATAGGAATTTTGACGCTGTGCTGTACATGATAGCACCATAGTCAAAATGGGGTAAAATAAAGGACTTAAATATGGTTTCTAGATGCTTGCTACCTAACGTGTATTTAAGTTTCTTTAAAGGGTTCAACATTTTTCGTATTTTTGATATAATTTCTCCAAGTGCTTTTCATATGAAAGGCTTGGGTCAAAAGTAAATCCCAGATGTTTGTGCTCGTGATCTCTGGTAATTTCAACATTGTTTAACTTTGAGACAGAAACATTATCGACTTTAGATCTGGATGAGTGGAATATCATTTCAGAACTCTTTTCAGGTTTAAACTCTAATTTCCAGGTGTCAGACCATTTTTCAATTTTAATTAGGTTAGATCTGACTATTGCATCTACTTCTTGTGGATGCTTAGGGTCAAAAGGATGATGTAGAGAAGTGTCATCCGCATAAATATAGCAATGCCCCTCCAGATTGTCTGGAAGGTCATTAATGTAAAGGAGAAATAATATTGGCCCAAGTATTGAGCCCTGGGGGACACCACAATTGATAAATTCATTTTCAGAATAATTTGAAAGGATCTAGTGCACCCGCCATTATGATCTCCCCATGAACAAAATGAATCATTTTTAGGTGTAACATAAAGAATACAATGTCACATAATACTATGGAAGATATTTAAGCGTTTGGACCCACATGGGCTGAAGTTGAGGTCATTAAGTTCAGCAAGGGTGTATTGACTTGCCATTGGATGTGCTCCATTTGACTTAACATGTGGATATCATCAGATTCCAATGGAGGCCATTGGTTTCTATTGATTTTCACAAAAATACCTAAAATACACTATGACCTAAATCGATTGCAAATTAAATAATTTCACAATATGACACAAATGGTATATCACATCAGATGTGCAAATATCCTACAAAATGGCTATAGGAAAATGCTTCAAAAGCAACTTTTACACTTATGAAATCCCATACAACTTTGTAAATCCAAAGTTGATACTGTTATGTTTCATTAATTAATAACATATTTGGATAAGATGTAGGGATGTGTAGGATGCAAATGGATTTTGACAGACACAAAAACACTTCCTGGTTTGGCATCTCGACCCCTGTACACTTTATGATTGAATATTGGCCCTAGAAAAATTGTTTTGGAAGCTTTTCCTTGTTCGGATGTGCTCTGAAGAAAATGTTCAATCGATAAAAGTTGATGGATAGTACTATGACGTGGTAAGAATCCGGACTGATCTTTGAAAAGAAGATTATTGTCAATTAAATGCTTCCTGATCCGATCAGCTAAAACTTTTTCAAATACTTTAGAGATACAGCTTAAAAGAGTGATAGGTCTATAATTGTTGATGTTTGATTTGTCATTCTTCTTAAAAATTGGGCAAACATTTCCAATTTTCCAGATATCCGGGTAGGTATACTTTGATAAAAGTTTGTTGAATATGTTGGCTAAAGGTTTTGAAATGGTCAAATTCAACATTTTGTTGGTGATGTTATCTGGGCCACATGCCTTTGAGGTGTCTAAGGACAAAATTATTTTCATTACCTCGAATTGATCGGTCTGGGCGGAAATGAGAAGAGAATTAGTCCTAATTGAGAAATGGGGCAATTGATCAAAAGTTGCATCAGTTTGATTTTTTGAGGCAAAGAAACTCATAAATCGGTTAGCTATATTAAGGTTGTTAGATAAGTCGTGTCCAGAGACATCGTCATAGATACTAGAAATATCATTTTTATGTAAATTGTTACCAAGGAATGATTTAATTAAGCTCCAATAGTTTTTATCAGATTTATTGAGTTGATCAATTGATGAGATAGTTTTGAGTCCATGCGCCTCTTTGGCTTGTTCAATTAGTTGGGAGACTTTAGAAGCTTGTTGATTATAATTGAATTTGTTAACTTGATTAGGAGATTTTGAAAATTTCTTATATAAAACTTTCTTTTTTGATATTTCACGTTTAAGATTATCATTGAACCATGGCTGGTCATTTGACCTTACAGTGATAATTTTATTTGGAATTTTGGATTTGTATATATATGTCCGAGAGTTTTTCAATAAAGTTAGAGGAAGCTAAGTCCAAGTCTATATCTCTATCGATAATACCTGTCCATTCGGTTTTTCTAATTGCATCATTCAAAGTTTCAAGATTAGCTTCATGATATTTCCAAATGGTTTTTTCAATAAGCTTGGACTTAGTCACACCAACTTTAATTTGAGCTACAATTGTGCTGTGGTCAGTTTTTTCAATGGGATCAGTGACATCCCAGTTGTCAAAAATATCTGGAGAATCGGTCAAAATATGATCAATGCAAGATTTGGAGTGGTCAGTTATTCTAGTTGGTTCACTAACAAGTTGTACAAAGTCTTGGTTATCTATGGTTTCTAAGTGTTTAGTTCCTGCTAAGTTTATGTTATCATTATCATACCAGATTGAATTCAGTGGTTCAAAAATATTCTATCACACTATTGTGCAAAACATGATTCTAGTATATAACTGACTATCTTAGAATTGGTTTTGGTATAAAACCAGCGAATCATTGTGTATAATCAGCTTACTTTTTCGCCCCCTGTACTATTGCACAATTTACATTCCTTGCACCCTGTAGTGATTTTTGAAACGTTGTACCCTGTACTATGACATATCAAATATTTTAAAATTCAAAACGATATTATTTATATTCTTCCTTCATGGACTTCACTATTTCACCATTGACGTTCAGCAAATAACGATATTGACTCACTCCGAGCACCAAACGTATTAACATGTTGACTAAGCAGTCAATGGAGAGGTTAAGCTACCGTATAAAATCCAAAACGCAACTTAAACGTATCAATCGTCCCTATACAAATACATGTAGAGTTCACACATAAATAGCCGTTCAGCTCTAGTGTTTGTTTAGACTACACCATAGCTTGTAATGATTACATAGTATGCCATTGATGAAGTTCAATAGCTGGTTTTCTAATACATATTTTAAACGAGTTCGTTTCGTAAGATTATTGGAGTTAAATCATGCGTAACATACATCATCTTCTTCAGAAAGAATTATACTCTGCATCGAAATCAAAATTGCAAGGATAGTATTCAACAGACATGAGTATAATGATTCCCGTTGATAGCAACGTGAAATTTTAAAATCTCCCGTTCTAAACACGCAACTTTGAAGTTGAACGGGTATCTGAAGTAGACTAAAGCGATACAATCCTATGTTGATTCAATGTACTTTGCGTTTACGTATACGTTTTGAAAAACCGTATTTGCTTAACCTCTCCACTATACTCAAAAGTGGCCTGGTTGGAAGCCAAAAATCTCGAGACCTTCATAAATTCTAATAATCAATTGATGTCAAAATGCATCTATAAATTGGTATAAAGTACAAACGCAGAGTAAACAGGGCAAATGGTGAACAATATCGTACCTATAACATAGCAATGTGGACTTGATGACCCAGAAAGGAAGAATGGCCGCCGAAAAGTTAATCAGTTCTAGATCTTCTTACCACGTTGAATGTGTAAAAATTTCAAGAAGATCGGTAAAGTGGTTTTCCTGGAATCACGACGATAAGATTTATCTAAAAACGTTCAATATAGCTGCTAGAATGCAAAATGGTCATAGAAAAGTTGATCAGCTGTAGAACTTACCATGTAACATGTGTGAAAATTTGAAGCAGATCTGTTAAGGTGGATTTTCTGGAATCGCGATGACAAGATTTATCTAGAAACTTCCAAAATGGCCGCCAGAATGCAAGATGGCTACCGGAAAGTTAATCAGCTCTGACAGTGGTTACCATAGAAACGATAACTATATTGTCAGTACTTAGATGGCTGTAAGGACATTTTGAGAGAATAATGTCAGATATGTTCCTCATGTTGTAAAAGTTTCATGAATAAATTTATAAAAAGCAAAAGAAAGGGTTACAGCAAAATTACCAATATATTAAAGAAGATTCTCTGAAGATTCGTGCGTTTGTATATTTGTTCCATTTTTCAGGAAAATCAGGCTACATAGACCTTCGTCGTAATGGAAACAAGCTGAAAACGTTAGGTCGAGATGACGTATTTAGTCACGATTCCCCAGTTCAACACGTGTTAGTGTCTCGATAGGTTTTTTGAGTCCTATACATTTTGACTTCTAGAACACCTATTTTTTAATTAAATTCAGTTTAAAACAGACAGTCAGCAATCCGAAAACGCTTTCGGTGGTGCAGAAATACAAAGATCAACAACATAAAAGCTTTTTAGTTAATCTTGTATTTATTTTTACATTTGCCATGTGCAATATGACCAGCAGTACAATTGCCAAACATTGCAAACGGGTATAGAACAATATTTTTGAAAATCCGGATTTCTAACCGTGTTACAACAACTGTGACATTGCTTGATTATTAAATGATAATTCAAACGAGTATCTTTTCCAGACATGATCCACCGATAGAGTTCCTACCCGGTGATGAGGTATTCGTTAGTTGCACCTTCGATTCACGCTCAAGATCAGAAACCACTTACTACGGCTACGATACATCAGCTGAAATGTGCTACGGATTTTTCCAGTACTACCCGGTGATTAGTAACTTGACAAATATTTTGAATTACAAAGACGTCGAACTTTGTTTCAACTGGGGTCCCAGAGGGGGAGGTGAGGGTCTCATTGTTGGAGGATGTAGTTTGACGAAGGCGGTCATTCAATCCTTTTCAATGAAAGTCATGGCGAAATGCTCGATGACCGGTAATGTCTGTCAACCAGAATGCAAGGAGATGGTCAAGGAAACCAGGTTGAATGACGAGTGTATGGGGAACGAAGACGTTTTTGGACTAGTGAAGGTTTTATCAGAGGGAGAACCTCGATTTGAAAACATATGGAGAGCATTTGAGTCTTGTGACGATGAGATTAAGATGGATGATGTTCTCACGAGATTAATATTAAGCCTAATTTGAACTTTTAATTAAATTTATCTAAATCACCCAAGTTTACATATCAAACCCTTTTCTACATAATATTATATCATGGTACTAAAATTAAAATGGGTGGTATCTATAGACACTCCCCGAAGCGATAAACGATGGAGATGATAGGTGTGACGCAAAGGAGTCTATGGACACCCGATACTCATTGCACAAACATAGTAGCAATTATTATTATTATAAAGGGACTATAGAATTATACAATTTTACAAGCTAGAGATACCTGGTGTCTATACAGTGCGTATCAAAAAAACGCAACAAATTGTTAACTCGAACAAGCTCAAAACCAGTGATAACAGCATTGGTTTCTTTCAATGTACCATAAAGCCATATGTCGTCTCCTCTTTCCAATGGTATGTCATTTATTGAAATTGGGTCTTGGTTGGGCGAGTAATCATTCTTTTTGTTAAGTTGGCCAAAATTAGCTTGGGACCAATGCAAGTTATGAACACCGCCAAAGTCAATGCTAGGGGCCAGGTGTTATTGGAAGAATACATAAAACCAGAGATGACTGCATCCTCATTCAATGAACCACAAAGCCACATTTCTCCTCTTTGCAATGTCATGTCATTCATTCTCAGGGATTTATGTTTGGCCAAATAATCATTGATCTCGCAATGAGGGGCAAAATCAGCTCAGAACCAAGTTTAAAACATTGCAAAAAAGCATTGTAGAAAAACATCTCATTGGCAATTCTTTTTCGAAATTTTGCAATATCTGGGAGAGGACTGGTAAACACTTTGCTCCTAAGATAGGTTCAAAAGAAAAAGTTACAACAATTCAAGTCAGTAGAACTTCCATTAGCACTTAGCCCTAGCACTGACTTTTGCAATATCTGAAACTTGGTCCAGAGCCGACTTTGGCCAATTGTGCAAATGGAATGATTTTTCGCCCAACAATGGCCACATGTGAATGACTGATAGATCATTTCAAAGAGGAGAGACGTGGCTTTATGGTACATTGAATGAAATTGATGTAGTCATTACTGGTTTTGTGGTTTTACGAGATAGTTTGTTGCGTTTTTTTATACGCCCTGTAGACACCCCAAGTTTACATTTAACGTTTTTATTACTTTTATACATATGCCATGGTACTAAAATAAAACTGGGTGGTGTCCATAGACACTCCTGAAACGAATACATGATACTGCATGTAGGTTGGACGCAAAGAAGTCTATGGACAGTCCCGATACTTATTGCACAAACATAGTAGCAATTATTATAAAGGAACTATACACTGCGCAGGTCCGTAGCGCTTCGATGGGTTCGAGCAAATCCCCCCCCCCCACCTCCTCCCCCCTTGGCCAAAAGTTATTTCAAAAGCATGCATTTTTTCATCATTCTGAGCACTTTTTAGGTGACTTTGGCATTGTTTGGACTTTATTTGTAATTTTTTCAAAACTGAACAACCCCCCGCCCCTTGGCAAATCCTTGCTACGGGCCTGCTGCGAAACTAAAACATATTTACGAATTGTTGCTCGCAAAAGTGTCTATGGACACTTACCTCTTAATCCGCTTCCTAGCAGCTATGTACATTAGTAGCAACAAACATTTATCATTCTTTCTTCCTTGCTTTAGGGTATTTTAACATCATATTGTGAACATCTCATAGATTCATACGTAATAACTTTTAACATCGATTGAAATAGATCATTTTCAAGTGAGCCCTGCAAAGTTACGTAATTGAGACAAATATACCTTCACTAATTTAAATATCTATCCCTCTTTATTACATTCTCGTCCATTTTATCATATTTTTGTCGCGACCCCCGCTTTGGGTAGCGTGGCTGGAGGTTAGACAGAAAAGGAAGTATTTGATTTAACAGGTGTTAGTGCAAGACTTATATTCCTATGATTATTGTTCACATCTAATGTGGGAGGGGTTTATTTGTCAAAAGTCAAATTTTGCAGATGTTGGATTAAATAGGTCAGAAATCAGCTGATAAGTGTAATTAAAGGTATATTTATGACATTAGCAAACATTAATTGACCCAACTGACAAATATTTGTTCAATTACAGGGCAATTATGTGCTTGACCTTGATATGAAACCTCCGCAAAGCAAACTGGACAGCAAGTGTCATCTGCTTTCCACTGGGCGATGCAAAGTGTACGAGCACAAATCAAGGGTCAATCAAAATCAATAAGTTTTTGCAGATAATTCCACAATACAAAATCGTGTTAAATAACGATCAATACCAATGTTACAACAATCTTACTCCGTACTTAGTACTCGCAATCCTTGATTATTGATACACTTATTTGGAAGGTTATTTGAGCTTACACTTTGGTATTGATACACTTATCTGTGTTTTTTAGGCTTAAATACTGAGGTTTATTTTTTAATTATTGAGTCTTATCTATTGCATTCTTGACTTTAAAATGATGTGAAATATAAACGTACAATCAAAAGTTAGTATTCGTATTTTCTATGTTTATATTTAGATCAAAGAGTATGAGAAGCCAAACCAGAAAACAATATATTTCACTTTCAGTTTCACACATGATCATGCTATAACCTTGTGGAAAAAGCGATGCATGTAACCTTTACTTCCTATTTCACATACAGTGCTTTTTCTTTATTTCCATGACCGACTCATAACCATAAAACTTACTTTGAATAATGTTTCTCATTCCCTCATTCCCCATCTTGAGTACTGTATTCTTTTCTTGATATTATATTTTGAATGTCGTTTGTCGCTCCCTATGGTGAGAGTGTTCATTTCCAAAACTCAAATGATCACTCGTACTTACTCCTAACCTGGGAATACTAAACCAGTGATTTTATTCCAAGTCCTAACATACAGAGTGTCCGGAAAGTACAGATACAAATGCTCGTATTTCAATAGATTAACCCGTTAGAATGACATAAGAATTTATCCTGCAACTGTCATGACATATAGTTTCAAAATAATAAAGTTATGGTTTAAAAAAGTTATGGTTGTTATGGTAACAGGGGTTGGGGGTCGGGGGTATGTGGAGCAACGTCACAATTGTGTTTTATAATTCTTTTTCCTGCTCCTGTTATCTTGTCACTCCATCATCTGTTCCTATTATGCATCAAATTATGTAACACAATAGCATAAGGTAACATCATTTGATCATTAAATATAACTACTGTTATCCAGTATGCATTTCCCATCATGATCTTAAACATTCGTGGTGCATCTTGGCCGGAGATTCAAAGACCTGACAAAACCACTGCTGTCCACCTCTCAGATTGCTGATAACATTGGCTTCCAACTGAGTCTCATTTGTATGTTGAACTTCTTACAAACATCGGTTTCATCTATTCATTAATGTAGAAGTCTAACAAGATTTTATCAGGAAAATAGGTCCATAGTACAAAAAGGTAAATTTTCAAGACATTACAATAACAAATATAGTTTCAAATGGTTATATTTTAGCAATTTATCACATTTTAATGATTTTTGGAGCTGCTCCGCATACCTCTCACCTCCGTAACCATGACAACCATAACTGAAACACGTTTGAACGATATGGGATGTAAGTTAACAGATAAGTCACTCGCAAGACGACGTGTGCGCTAAATAGACTCCTTAAGAAACGAATTGTCACAGAAAAACGCGTAATTGTACACTTTTGAAGATATTCGTCATACTTTGATTGCTCGCAACATGTTTTGCCTTTACCCGAAGTGATAAATGTTGCTTGCATATCTTAGTCATTTCAAGTAACAGAATACTTTTATTTGTCCATCGATTCAAATGAAAATGATTGCATCCATTGCAATCTTTAATAGTTCTCATGCAATATCAGTAACCTGCCCGTAGCCAGCTTTTGCTTTGGGGGAGGGGGGGGGCTCGAACTCCTCTCCCTGCCCACACATAAACAATTTTCCATGCAAAACAAATACAACGGGCAACCCTGAAAAAACAATGCCCAATACTGCCAGTCTACTATCAAAATTGCCCAATTTATATGGAGAGAAGCATATTTTGGGCCCAACATTAGAAATAGAAAGAAAATCCTTCAAGATTGCACGAGCCTCCCCCACCCCTAACCTGGCTACGGGCAAAAATGTGCTCCAAATTTGAACTTCAATCCTACTAGGAACGTTTTTACAACGAGTTCTGATATCGTATTGAGAACAACGTAGAACTAATGGTCCTTTTCTATATAGCCTTGAAATCTTGTTAAGTCTCGTTTTTAATGAGATTTTAGGAGATCTGCATTTTTAACCACTAAAGACTAAAATTTTCCTCCACTTGATGGCATATTTGAATTCTCTGTGTAATTTTCTACCAAAACAACTTTGATTTGCACTGTTATTTACTTTTATTCAAATTATAAAAGGTCGGGCTAAATCCCCATTGACACAATGTTGAAAAACCTTTAAAAGTCCATTTACTCTTACAAGGATCAAAATTTTAATGTGAAATCACAATCCACATGTCAATAGGGTCACATTCCAATGGTGTTTGAAGTTGATCCAAATAAAATTACTTCTTAAATCAAGAAATTAAGTGACTCTGGCAATACATTTACATGTATTCTATACCAATACCCATGATGCCATCTATTTTTCATTTATTTGGAATAGGGTCAATAAACTAGATGCGAGTAGAAATAATCTTGATTAACGTCATTAAATATTCAAAATTCAGTCAAAGTGATGTCATATTTGAAATCTACATGTAAAAGTACATCTACAAATATGGTTTCGAAAATTGTTTATCAACTTTGAAAATTTAATTTTTTTGAAAATGTGACTTCAAGTTCGGGTTGATTCCCCATAGACCCCATGTTACAAAATCACAAAAAGTAAAATATCTTTTCTCGTATTGGACAGATAACATTTTCTTTTACGGACATATTTTAATTTACATAACAATAAGATACTTAAGGGTTTAATACATAATTGAACCATTAAAACAGATGTAATTTAAGTTAAAGGGAACATTCTACTATACCCGCCATGCTATCTGACCCGAACGAGCCACCTGGTGGTGAAACTGGTAACTACTTACTCGCATCTGCGTTATTGCAAACGGGTTTAAATTGATCAACGTAAATTGATCAAGACGTATGAAGACTGCTTATGAACGAGTTAGCAAAAATATAGCTATCACATCAAATTAATTGCCTCTGCGTTCTTCACAAAATAACCGAACAGGTCTTAAACTGTGTGCGATCGGAA